AAATTATCCCTTCCAAAGGACTACAATCCCTGAAAAATTCAGCTCATTTGCACTTATAGTTCCTGAGATAAAATCGTGCCAAGCAATTTCGGTGATTTATTATTTTTTCTGAGTGCCTTTTTTCATAGATTTCGGCTTCAAATCTGAGAATAATTTTGTGTATAGAATTTGGGGGATGTTAATTGATGATTAGGATACAAAATCTCAACAAAAAAAATTTTCAAATTTCATTATTTTAGTAAGAAGCTTATGATATTCAGGGGACAATAATGACATTTTCCGGAAAAAAGAGGAAAGTCAGGGGCGTATCATAACAAAATTTCCTCGAAAATTTCAAACTTTTCCAGTGAAAAATCACTCCAGGAAAAATTCTTGAAAATTGACTTTTATAAGCAAAATTATAGAAAATTCACCCTCTTACATTTTAATTTTTTTCTGAAAACCTGGCAAAGGAAAAATTTCGAAAATTTTCCAGAAAAAAGAAGAAAGTCAGGAGCTCAATATAAAAATTTCAAAATTTTCTAGTGAAAAATCACTTCACTAAAAATTCTGGAAAATTGACTTTCTTAAGCTTAATTAAGAAAAATTCACCCTCTTACATTTTATTGTTTTTCTGGAAAACTGGCAAAGGGATCATTATGAAATTTTTAGAGGAAGAAAGGGAAAGGGTTATCATCAATGACTTATCATACTATAATTTCAAAAATTTCCAGTGGAAAATCACTTCAGGAAAAGCTCTGGAAAATTGGCCAAATTTAAAGAAATTCACCCTCTTACATTTTAATTAGTTTCTGGAAAACTGACAAAGGGAAAATTGTAAAAATTTTTAATAATAGTTAGGAGCTCATTATGGCAAAATTACAAAATTTTCCAGTAAAAATTTACTTACAGGAAAAAGTCTGGAAAATTAACTAATTTTAAAAAAATCAAATTTTAAAATTTTGTAAATATAATTAAAATTATTATTCTTTTGGGTAGAGGGGGCCATTTTTTCGTTTAAAGGTCTGTTCCCACAGGAGTCTCTGACAGTTTGCAAACTGTCAGTAAGCATCGCCCATACATGTTTTCAATGCTGTCGTTACAAGATAAATTTGTAACTCAGCTGAGCGATTGTTTCTGACAGGTTGCAAACTGTCAGAGACTCCTGTGGGAACAGATCTTAAGGCCTCTAAGCCTGGAAAAAAATGGAAAAGAACATTCAAAAATTGTATTTGAAATTTTCCAACTTGACATGGCTCCCTTAAATGGGCCATAACTCTGGAATGTCTGGACTGATATCAATGAATCAAAATGGCATTGGTTACAAAATGACCTTATCAATAACTATTAACGTTCCAAAGTTATGAAGCTTCAAAGTTGGAATTTACACTAAAAATTTTAAAAAAGCTGTAAACTCAAAAAACTCAAAAACCGTAAGTCGTAGAGGAAAAACTCAAATTAGTGTTATGTAGTTAGGGTTTCCATAAAGGTTTTCTGGAATTCAGGACAAAGGAGTCCAGAAATCCGGACAAAATCCGGACTTCGCCAAAATAGCTATTTATGCAACAAGTGTGTAAAGTAAACCTTTTTTCACGAATATGAAATTTCACGCACCAGCCGAAGAGAGACACGTATTGCATACAATTTTTTTTGTACTACCAATAAAATATGTGTACACAAAAAAAATTAGACAAATACTTTACGCAATAGTGCGTAAAATGAATTTTTACGTCTTTTGAATAGTGCGTAAAGTGAGTACTTTAAGCACGGTAGTAGAAAAAATAATTTGTATAAAGGATGAATTTTGTTTATTTTTCGCAAAATAGTACATTGTGCATCAAGGGCGGAAAGAAGACGATTTCGACGAGTGTGAAGTTATCGGCCCGAGCGAAGTGAGGGCAGATATCGGACGAGTAGAAATCGCGTTCCGTCCATGGTGCACACAGTACTTTTTGAACAACCTTCTTGGAAACATTTTTGATAAATTTCATTTATATTAAATTCAAATTGACAGCATTCCCGTCCGGCTAGATGGGCGGAAATGTTCTTGTTTGTCCGGCTGTGAAATGCGCATGCGTGACAGTCACCGGGCTGCAATTCTCAATTTTCTGCTTGCTTCATATACTTCAAAAAGTCGTGTTATTGAGCAGGTTGCGCAAAATTACATTTTCAGAGAAATTAATAAATAACCGTGAAATATTTTTTCTATGACTGCTCTTGAAACCTATTAGAAACGTACTACTAACTTGCCTAGAAAATCAATTATACCGCACAGCGTGCGAAAAGTAAATTTTCACACGCTTTTGCGTGCGAAAAGTTACTTTTCACACGCTAAAATAAAAATGACACATTGAATTTTTGTTTTGCAAGTAACTCTGAGTGCATTCAACGAACGTACCAAAATAGTTTGTTGATTATAACCTTAAATAATTATTTTTAACAAAAAAAAAATTAAATCTCAATATGATTATAGTTATTTCGCAGTCGTAGAAAAAGTATAGTGTATAACGCGTATGAAAAGCACTTTTCAAACTCGTGCGGTTTCTGCCACTCGCCTGCGGCTCGTGTCACCAAACTTCCCCACGCGTGTGAAAAGTGCTATTGTCAACACTTGTTGCACAATATACTATTTCACACTCTCCAATCGTGCAAAAAGTACTTTTCGCACGCTAAAATAAAAATGACACATTGAATTTTTGTTCTGCAAGCAACTCTGAGTGCATTCAGCGTACGTACCAAAATTGTTCGGTAATTATAACCTTGAATAATAATTTTTCAACAAAAAAATAAATACATAAGTAAATTTCGATGTGAATATAGTTATAGTTATTCCGCAGTCGTAGAAAAAGTATAGTTTGTAAGACGTGTGAAAACTGAAAAGTGCTATTTTCAACACTTGTTGCAAACAAAACAAAACAAAGTTATAGGTTGTTTTCACGATCTCCAAGTTTTCCGGACATTGTTCTGAATTCCGGCCGGACTTCCCCGGACACCCTAAAAACCCAAACATGTCCGGGTAAATCCGGACGTATGGAAACCCTATATGTAGTACTCATTGAGAGCTACAGTTTTCATCACAAAAGATTTTTTCTTAGACTTGCCGTTTTCAAATTATGGCCGTTTGATATATGGAATTCAAAAAAACATGAACTAACCAATTTTGAAAAATTTTCATCAAATGAAAATTTATAAATTTTTCTTCAATTAAGTTATGAAAGGGAAAATATACTTTTTTCATTAAAATAAAAAATTGAGGAAATTGCAACTTAGGTTTATAACTACTTAGAAACGGGTTAAATCTGGGAATTCTATAATCTGCCTGTGAAGAGTTTTCCTCTAGAACTAACCGTTACGGAATTATGGCCAGTTAAAGTTTCAATTTTCGTCATTTTCAGTGTTGTAGGTATGGGGCCAAAAACGAAAGTTAAAATTTCGAAATTTCAACATAGCCATTTTGTAGAGGGGATCCCAAAAAGTCCCAACTTTTCTCCTTTAACTTTTCGGCTTTCTCATGAAATTTCACCATTTTGTGGTGATTCAACACGCCTTTATTAAATTGTCTATAACTTGTTTGTCTTTACACCGATTTCTTTGAATTATGTTAGGTTTCCACATTCATATTTTAACAGGTGATTAATGTTTTCTTTATCAATTTTTTTTTCTAAATCGATACGGTTTAGGGGCACTTATGGCTCTTATGAGTTAAATTTAATTGTCTCCAACCCATGTAATGAAGTGAATATGCAATTTTCTTACCATCTGGCATTTTAAACATGCTATATAAATGCCCTTTTTAAACACATAAGCGAACAACCAAATCGTTTGGCAATATCATAAGATTCAATTGAAAATACTGTCTTGACAGCATGTGCAGTAGAACTGAAACTGCTTCTACACCATTTCAACCTCAATTTCGGAAAAAGTAACTTTTATTTAGGAAAATGTTAATTCAAATTCGGAAAAAGTAAATTCAAATTCGGAAAAAATAACATTATTTTCTCCGTAATTGAATGTATTGTTTCCGAATTTGAATTTATTTTTTCCGAATTTGAATTTACTTTTTCCGAATTTGAATTTACTTTTTCCGAATTTGAATTTACATTTTCCTAAATAAAAGTTACTTTTTCCGAAATTGAGGTTGAAATGGTGTAGAAGCTTGAACATCTTCAATACTAGATTCACTTTGAATTAAACCAAAACACAACAGCCAACAGAAAGTATGATTCAATTTCATATAAATTATGATTAAGTATAAATTCACTCATGGATAAGATTCAAAATAATTGTTTCAAATACATAACTTAAGAAATCAATTCTCGTATTTCAATTTGAAAAAAACCCCAAAATAACTTATGTTTTATTTACACACACTACCACAATATAGTACTAATTACTTATGCACAATTTGCTTATCAGAAAACCGATTAGATTGTCGTAAACCAAAATTTGCTTAGTCGTTCACTGGTTTTTGAGACCCTCCACAATTCAATAAAGTCCGAGTTCTATATGTGTTATCTGTGCAATTATATACCTGACCATGCCCCTCTTAGAAAGACACTCATTTTCGGATATTTTCAGCTTACTTGGGAGACAACACAGGTGTGTGAATAAATAATACATATGTTTATTATCAATTATTATTGCAAAATTATATTTGTTATATTGCATTAATGATAATGTCGGCATCCCTTGTTGACAATTTTATCTTGAAATTTCAAAAAAACCATATAGATAAAAGTTTATTAAAAGAAAAATTTGATAATTATTTATGTATACATATTGGTAATTATAACAGATAAACCATACACAAAAATGCATTTATTTATTTATTTGGTGAAAAGGAACTTTTGTATGCTGATAATACTTTCAAGCTGATGTTCATAGCATTTTGAAAAATTCCTAAAAATTACTTAGTTGGAGTATTTTGAAACTGTTGACAGTGTCTTTTGAAGCTGGAAACCAATGTAGTTTTATGTAAAAATCCATATTAATTTAATAAATCACTGTTTACTTTGTTCCAGCTCCAGCAATTTACATTTGAGCGGTGCCAAAAGGCGAACCGGTGGACACATTAATCGATCCGAAAGTGTAAAAGAACAATCCGAAAAGAGTCGGAAACAACAAAGAAGAAACATCAGCGATCCTTCTCATGCCCATAATACCAGGTAAATACATTTCAAAATGAAAATCAGTTAATAAGTAAAAATATTTCACCTATATAGTAGCTATGACGTGGACGAGCGACAAGATGCTTCAACCAAAAACACCGAATCAGGAAGCTCATCAAATTCCAGTATATCTGTTGTCAAGTAAGTAAATTGATTTAATTATTATAAAATTCAACATATGTATATTTTTTTATAGTGGTAGATTATCTGAAAGTCCTTCAAACAGTATGGACGTGCACCAAGCTACAGTCAGAACCCAATCAGATTCTGACAGTGATATGGACAACGAAACCGATCCCCTAAACTGGCGCGATCTAGTTACCGAAGAAGAACTTAAAAAATTAAACCCCAACGAAAAAAAGCGACAAGAAGTCATAAACGAATTGTTCCTTACAGAGGCCTCGCACATGCGTATGCTAAAAGTCTTATACAAATTGTTTTATAAAAGTATACACTCGAGTCAACTATTAAAACCAGACGAATTAAACCTCATTTTCCCTAATATAAAAGAGCTATTGGACATTCATACTGAAATCAACAAAGAAATGAGACGAATAAGGAAAGAAGATCCTCTAGTAAGACAAATAGGTGACATGTTAGTAAATACCTTCACTGGAACCCAAGGCGAACAATTACAAAAAGCCTCTGCTGCATTTTGTGAACGTCAACAACTCGCTCTGGAATTCATCAAAAGACGTCGAGAGCGAGACAACAAGTTTGACGCTTTGTTAAGCGAGTGTGAGAAAAAGAGACAGTGCAAACGGTTGCAGCTGCAAGGAATTGTGCCATACGAGATGCAAAGACTTACAAGATATCCCTTGTTGTTGGAGCGGTTGATTAAAAGTGTTGAAGCTGCTGAGAAGACTTGTAGCGAATATCAAGACGAATTGGTTAAACTCAGGTAAGAAAATACATAATTATTGTTTGGAAAAAGAACTTTTTTGACGTTGACAGCTGGCAAAATTTTTTGACACTGACAAATAGTTCACAACATATATCCGTCATGTACCAAGTTTAGTGGTCATAGCTTGTATGGTAGAGCGGAGAGAAAGGCAATCATGTATCAGATTTCAACAAAATGTCGGGCATCAAAAATTCTATCCAAATGCCTCATTCAAATTTGACATATGTCAAAAAAGGCGTCATTTTTTGACATATGTCAATATCATATCAAATTGTCAAAATAGCGATTCTGTTTTTCGATACGTGTTACATAGTAGGTATGTCCGAAGCTGTCGTATTCAATATCGACTGTCAACCTCAGATTATATTTTTTTTGACGTTGACAGCTGTCAATTTTTTTTGACACTGACAGGTAGTTTAAGTCAGGGGGAAAGGCAAACGACCTTAGAGCAAACGACCCAATCGAAACAGATTCCGGTCGCATGAAAGCTGTCAAATGTTTTTTGACACGTGATGTTTAAATGGTTTGAAAAATCTGCTAAGATACTATGTAACAAATAGAGATTTTTTCTCCGTCTCTATTAATTTCAAAAAGAGAAAAGAAGACAGCAAGTGCCATAGAGATAGAAATAACGATCTTTATCCGTTACATAGTCCTAGTCCTGGTGCTTTTACCGTGGGAAAATTTTGGAATTTGTTTCTGCTTGTCATATTTTTGACATTGACAGCTGTCGTTAAGATTTTTAAAGTATTTTTCGAGTTCAAATCCATACGACTATATAGACTTTTTCCGCCAATGTAGAGAAACTTTATTGCTCGATGACACCGAAATGTTCGAGTTACTCTAAGTGATTCAATTATTGCTTTAATTTCTGTCCCATCTGCACCAACTCTGTTCTGCTTGCACTGCTCTGATTGTAACTGTTCGAACTACTCTAATATGCTACTAAACAATAAATTTTTTCACTATAAGTGGGCTTATTTTGAGAACTAATTTTGGGTTTTTCATAATTCTACTCTGATTGTTTCAAGTGCACTAACTCTTTTTATCTGTGCAACTGTCCAAATTGCTTTAACTGTTTTAATTCTGTTCCATTTGCACTAACTCTATTTAAATTACTCTAAGCATTTCATCTGCATTCATTCTATTTGAGCTGGGTTCGGCTTGCACACTCCGTGCACTCCGAGTGACTCCGTTCGCACTCCAGCTGTTGTCTGATTCGTTAAAATGCAATACCCAAACGGCTGGAGTGCGAACGGAGTCACTCAAAGTGCACGGAGTATACAAGCCGAACCCAGCTTTGAATTCCTTCTATTGTTCGAGTTACTTTAAGAGTTCCAATTGCTTCAATTTCTGTTCCATCTGCACTAACTCTGTTCTGTTTGACTGGTCTGATTGTTACTGTTCGAACTACTCTAATATCTACTCAATAATGAATTTATCCACTTCAACAATGGGCTGATTTGAAAATTAATTTTCAGTTTTTAGTCATTTTACTCTGACTGTTCTAGAGTGAATTAATAAGTACTCGGAAAGACTGAAAAACGGTGGAAAATACAGAGTGAATCAAGAATGTTTTAGCTTATTAAAAAACCTTACTCTAGAGTGAGTTTTTAAAATTGTTTGGAACAACTCAGTGCAGCAAATCAAATGAGGAAAATGTCTTTTTGGAACATCTTTAACACCAATTTAAGGCCACACGCCGAAGAAAACATTCAAATTGAACACAAAGCTCCAAAAAAGTATAAATGAAAAACTCTTCTAGAGTGAGTTTGTAAAACTAGAACTACTCTGGATAGCTTAGAACAATGAAAAATATAAAGTGAAAAGTGTTTAGAATTATTTTTAATAAAAAAAATCTTGCTCCAAAGTGAGTCCTAAGACTGTTCGGAACAACTGAATAGGATGAAAAAACAATAAAAAAGAGCTCTAAAATGTTCTGTAATTAAATATTATGTTTAAAACTATTTAAGAGTAGAAGAAGTAATGGCATAGATCAAAATTTATATCAGGATTTGAGACACAAATGTGACTGTTCTAGAACAACATGAAATGAAATAAGTTCAAAATATATAAATTTTGCGTTCAAAACTGTTCTCAAATGATATAAGAACCATCAAAAATGTGTTTTGGAGTAGAAAAAATAATGGCACCGATTAAGAACTTAACTTTTATCAGGATTTTGGTCAAAACGTGACTCTTCTAGAACAATTTTGAGTGTGTACGACATTGAACTGGTTCTGGAACTGTGCCGAAACAATTCAAATCAGCCCCAGTTTACTCTAGAACAATTATAGCTTGAAATAAATTCAGGAAATATTGGGTTTTTATAATAATACTACTCTGACTATCCTAAGTGCACTGACGTTTTTTGATCAATTCAACTGTCCGAATTATTTTGACTGTTCTTATTCTGTTCCATTTGCACTTACTCGATTTAAGTTACTCTAAGTATTTGAATTCTTTCTACTGTTTGAGTTACTCTAAGTGTTCCAATTTCTGTTTCATCTGCACTAACTCTGTTCCATTTGACTGGTCTGATTGTTACTGTTCAAACTACTCTAATATGTATTCAATAATAAATTCATCTACTACAACAATGGGTTGATTTGAAAATTAATTTTAGGTTTTTAGTAATTCTACTCTGACTGTTCTATGTGCACTGATTCTTTTTGATCTGTTCAACTATCCAAACTATTTTGACTGTTTGAATTTTGTTCCATTTACACTAACTCGATTTAAATTACTTCAAACATTCCATTTGCATTAATTCTATTAGAATTCCTTATATTGTTCGAGTTACTCTAAGTGTTCCAATTGCTTTAATTGCTGTTTTATCTGCACTAACTCTGTTTTGTTTGCACTGCTCCGATTACTTACTGTTCGAACTACTCTAATATGTTACTAAACAATGAATTTATTCACTATAGCAGTAGGCTGATTGACTAGAAATAATTTTAAACACTTTTCACTTTACATTTTTCATTGTTTTTAGCAATCCAGAGTAGTTCTAGTTTTACAAACTCACTCTAGAACAGTTTTTCATTTATAGTTTTTTGGAGCTCCGTGTTCAATTTGAATATTTTCTTCGGCGTGTGGCTTTAAATTGGTGTCAAAGATGTTCCAAAGAGGCTTTTTCCTCATTTTTTTGCTGCTCTGAGTTGTTCCAAACAATTTTAAAAACTCACTCTAGAGTAAGGTTTTTTAATAAGGTAAAACATTCTTGATTTACTCTGTTTTTTTCACCGTTCTTCAGTCTTTCCGAGTATTTCTACAAATTCACTCTAGAACAGTTAGAGTAAAATTACTATAAATCCAAAACTAATTTTCAAATCAGCCCATTATTGTAGTGAATAAATTCATTATTGAGTACCATATTAGAGTAGTTCCAACAATCGGAGCAGTGCAAACAGAATAGAGTTAGTACAGATGAAACAGAAATTAAAGCAATTGGAACACTTAGAGTAACTCGAACAGTAGAAAGAATTAAAATACTTAGAGTAACTTAAACCGAGTAAGTGCAAATGGAACAGAATTAGAACAGTCAAAATAATTCGGACAGTTGAATTGATCAAAAAACGTCAGTGCACTTAGGATAGTCAGAGTAGTATTATTATAAAAACCCAATATTTCCTGAATTTATTTCAAGCTATAATTGTTCTAGAGTAAACTGGGGCTGATTTGAATTGTTGCGGCACAGTTCCAGAACTAGTTTAATGTCGTACACACTCAAAATTGTTCTAGAACAGTTACGTTCTGACCATATTTCTGATATAAATTAAGTTTTTAATCGGTGCCATCATTTTTTCTACTCCAGAACACATTTTTGATGGTTCTTATATCATTTGAGAACAGTTTCGAACACAAAACTTATATATTCTGAACTTATTCATTTCGTGTTGTTCTAGAACAGTCACGTTTGTGTCTCAAATCATCCTATTCAGTTGCTCCAAACAGTCTTAAGGCTCACTTTGGAGCAAGATTTTTTTTATTAGAAATAATTTTAAACACTTTTCACTTTACATTTTTCATTGTTTTTAGCCATCTAGAGTAGTTCTAGTTTTACAAACTCACTCTAGAACAGTTTTTCATTTATAGTTTTTTGGAGCTTCATGTTCAGTTTGAATGTTTTCTTCGGCGTGTGGCCTTAAATTGGTGTCAAAGATGTTCCAAAAAGGCACGTTTTTCATTTGATTTACTGCTCTGAGTTGTTCGAAGCAATTTCAAAAACTCACTCTAGAGTAAGGTTTTTTTAATAAGTGAAAACATTCTTCATTCACTCTGTATTTTTCATCGTACTTTAAGTCTTTCCGAGTATTTCTACAAATTCACTCTAGAACTGTCAGAGTAAAATTACTAAAAACCCAAAATTAATTTTCAAATCAGCCTACTATAATAGTTAATATATTTATTATTGAGTAGCATATTAGAGTAGTTCGAACAGTAACAATCAGACCAGTCAAACAGAACAGAGTTAGTGCAGATGAAACAGAAATTAAAGCAATTGGAACACTTAGAGTAACTCGAACAGTACAAAGAATTCAAATACTTTGAGTAACTTAAATCGAGTAAGTGCAAATGGAACAGAATTAGAACAGTCAAAATAATTCAAACAGTTGAACAGATCAAAAAACGTTAATGCGCTTGGAAAAGTCAGAGTAGAATTACTATAAAAACCCAATATTTCCTGAATTTATTTCAAGCTATAATTGTTCTAGAGTAAACTGGGGCTGATTTGAATTGTTTTGGCACAGTTCCAGAACAAGTTCAATGTCGTACACACTCAAAATTGTTCTAGAACAGTCACGTTCTGATCAAAATCCTGATAATATAAACTAAGTTCTTAATCGGTGCCATTATTTTTCCTACTCCAGAACACATTTTTAATGGTTTTTATATTATTTGAGAACAGTCAAAACATTTAAGAGCTACTTTTTATTGTTTTTTCATCCTATTCAGTTGTTCCGAACAGTCTTTTGAAGCCCATTTTGGAGCAAGATTTTTTTTATTTGGAAATTAATTTTGAGTTTTTAGTAATTCTACTCTGACTGTTCCGAGTGCACTGACTCCTCTTCATCTGTCTAACTGTTCGAATTACCGTGACTATTCTAATTCTTCGAGTTACTCTAAGTGTTCCAATTATTTTAATTCCTATTTTATCTGCACTAACTCTGTTCTGTTTGTTACTATTCAAACTACTCTAATATGCTACTCAATAATGAATTTATTTACTATAACAATAGGCTGAATACCATTTTTTTTTTTTAAATTGTATTCACTTCATTCGTTTTTCTCCATATAGACTAGCACATCAAAGTTCCAAAGACATCCTCAGATTCGTAAACGAAGCCACCAAAGTGGCCCACAACAAACACCGTCTGGAGGAAATCCAACGCCACCTGGACGTTTCCAATTTCCGAAATAACGATCACCCCATCGTTTACGATTTCAAAAATATCGATCTTACTAGGTAAAGATAATGTCATTTTGTTAATGATATATCCAGGCCTGTTATTTTAACGGCTGTGTTATAACTCAACATCTAATGCTGTCTCTATTTTGACGTATAGAATAAACAGTGACAGATAACTTAACGTTGCTGTTAAAATAACAGATCATAGGTCTGAATACCTCTATTAATCAACAAAATTAATATACATAATAATTTGTGTCTATATATAGGTATAAGTTAATATTGGAAGGCAGTCTACAATTGAGGAGGCCTAACAAAGCACCGGTCCAAGTCCATGTTCTCCTTATGGAAGAAATGGTGGTGATTTTGCAAAAGGAAAATGAAAAGTTTCTGTTGAAGTTTTTCCAGTCAGGGGCACCTACGCAAATGGCTCCTCTTTCGCCTATAATCAAAATGAGTACGCTTTTGGTGCGAGAAAATGCTGTCTGTAAGTATTTTATCTTGATTTCAAAACATCTATATCTTATTCACAATCCGTAGTCCAAAGGTAAAGGTACATTTATTAGTTTTTCCTATCAAATAGCACTAAAAGGTGATTCATTTTACCTTTACCTTTGGACATGGATAATAGAAAATTGTACAACTTTATTATTTTTGGTAAAATTCTTAAGAAGTATATGTTTTAGCTTTATTACTAAACAATTTTAGTGAATTTTTGTACGTTAATCAATTATTTTTAGGTAAAAATGCCTTGTTCCTTGTAAATACATCAACAACGAGTAGTCAAATGTACGACCTGCACGCCGAAGACGAACCCAAACGGGAAATGTAAGCAATTTTGTTTATATGAATGACATAGAAACTGTGAAGGCGGCATCTTTTTATGAAATTAAGCATATGCGTGCAACAGTCTAGGAATTAGAATTAGAATTCTTTGTTATTGGGAATTCCTTATAGGTTGTTGCACGCATATTATGCTTAATTTCATATTGACACAGTTTTTATGCTATTCAGATTGACTTCATATTAACTATAAATATAATTTTTGAAAATTTATGAAAATTCTAGCTGGCTAAAACAATTCTCGGACGCAGCAGATGCCTATAACCGTCGTGAAGGTAAACCTATCCGTTCCGGTCCTATTCTCACGCAGCCTTTGGAACCAGTTTCCGATTCTGATTCAGATTCGATTCGTGGACCGGAACCTGAGTTAGTGGTACCGCCTGAAGTTAAAGAAGATCCTCAGTCGGAAAATGAGGAAGTTCCTGCTACTGTAGAGGCGGAGCCGTCTGTGGATGAGGCCAAAGATAGTCAGAGAGAGGAGCCTGAAAGTGGTGCACCAGGTAATGATTTTTTTTTCAATACAAAATAAACTTGATATTAATTTAGAACCAACTAAGAAGAAGGCAAATTCCCTTCTCTCTTCCATTTGAAGTGAGACAAAAAATAATGCATAGTAGCTTCTTCTTAGTTGGTTTTATTTTTCACCTACCAAAAACAATACACTAATTATAGCAGGCATGTCTAATTATTAAGGGGCACAAATATATTTCAATGCACAATAAAGATGGGAAAATAATATATATATACAGTGTGTTTCAAAAGTCAAAGAACACTCAAATATTTTCAGAGCGGCTTATAATAGAATTATTAAATTTTCTGCAAAGGAGTAATTTAATGATGACCGAATAAGAGCTTCTCGATTCTCTATCATAGTTCCATATTTCGGAATATATCTCTTCTGAGCCGCATTATTTTGCAATATATTTGAATCATGATTTCGAAATCCTGATCCGTTTGTTCAATTGGAACATGTTTCAATTTTAGGGTCCGAAAGAACGCTATTTGCTCCAATATCCAAGCCCGAAAAGTTTCAGAGTGAAAGGTGTCAAAAGAGTTGCTACTATTTTTAAAATAAATCTTTTGGAGTACGTTCAATCCTGCTCCGTTTGCTCCTAAAACAAACAGAATGAAAAAGGAATATTATTCGTAAACACGCTGCCGACTTTTTTACTCCAGGCTCACTTGTAAATGTTTGCTCTTTTTACTCTAAAGTGATCAAAAAACTATTCCGAATCGTTGTTAGGCGATTTCGTTAGTTTTAATATAAAAATAGGAGGTTCTGGAGTATGCACTTTTAACTCTAATATTGTTAGCTCAATGATCGGAGTAAAAAGAGTAAGTTTATTTGTGTGCAATAAACTTTTTTTTTTTAATTTTCGAAGTTCCACTTACTCGCAACTCTGTTTAACTAATGTGAACATAGTTACTCTATCTACACTAAATTGAATTCCTTATTGTTTTGGAACTGCTCCACTCCTTTTTTTACTCTGGAACACATTTTTGATTGATCTTGAATCATTTGAAATAATTCAGAACGATTAAGTTACCGTTTGGCTATACAGAGTAGAGTAAATGAAGTTCACTCCAAAAGTTCCAGTTCGAAAATTAGAATTTCAACACTTTGGTGTTTATTTAAATAGAGCAAACTTAGTGCAAAATATTTCAAGTTCGGTTACAAAAACTGTTCCAGAACAATACATTTTAGAAATAATTTGTTAGTTTGGATTATGGGAACGAGTGCAAATTGAACAGTTTCGAGTAATTTGCACCGCACAGTGCAAAAAGTGTTACTCTAACTGACACAAAGTGCTGCACTAAAGTTAGCTTGTTTACTCTAACTATTCCGTTCATTCAGAAAGAGTATTACTCCATAACTGTTCATTCAATCAGTGCACTCTAATTATTACTCCAACCATTGCAATAAAAAGAGTAACTGCTTTTACATTTGGCTATACAGAGTGGAGTTAATGTAGCTTACTCCAAAAAAATTGTTCTGGTGCTGCAACTATAAAATTGAAATCCTAGCAAAGTTACACCAAGGTTGAGTTCGGCTTATTCACTCCAAGTACTCCGTCTGTATTCTTGCTTCCTTTCACTCCAATAAAAAATATGGAATTTATACTATTTTCTCCAATATCCAAACCCAAGGAGTTTCAGAGTGAAAGGTGTCAAAAGAGTTGCTACCATTTTTGAAATAAATCTTTTGGAGTATGTTCAATTCTGCTCCGTTTGCTCCAAAAACAAACAGAATGAAAAAGGAATATTATTTTTAAACACGCTGCCGACTTTTTTACTCCAGACTCACTTGTAAACGTTTGCTCTTTTTACTCTAAAGCGATCAAAAAACTGTTCCGAATCGGTGTTAGGCGATTTCATTAGTTTTAGGAAATTTTGAAATATGCACTTTTAACTCTAATTTTGTTAGCTCAATGATCGGAGTAAAAAGAGTAAGTTTATTTGTGTGCAATAAACTTTTTTTTTAAATTCTCGAAGTTCCACTTACTCGCAACTCTGTAACTCTGTTTAACTAATGTGAACATAGTTACTCTATCTACACTAAATCGAATTCCTCATTGTTTTGGAACTGCTCCACTCCTTTTTTTACTCTGGAACACATTTTTGATTGATCTTGAATCATTTGAAATAATTCTGAACGATTAAGTTACCGGTTGGCTATACACAGTAGAGTAAACGGAGTTCACTCTAAAAGTTCCAGTTCGAAAATTAGAATTTCAACACTTTGGTGTTTATTTAAATGGGGCAAACTTAGTGCAAAATATTTCAAGTTCAGTTACAATAACTGTTCCAGAATAATACATTTTTCAAATAATTTGTTAGTTTAGATTATGGGAACGAGTGCAAATTGAACAGTTTCGAGTAATTTGCACCGCACAGTGCAAAAAGTGTTACTCTAACTGACACAAAGTGCCGCACTAAAGTTAGCTTGTTTACTCTAACTACTCCGTACATTCAGAAAGAGTATTACTCCATAACTGTTCACTCAATCAGTGCACTCTAATTATTACTCCAACCATTGCAATAAAAAGAGTAACTGCTTTTACATTTGGCTATACGGAGTGGAGTTAATGTAGCTTACTCCAAAAAAATTGTTCTAGTGCAACTATAAAATTGAAATCCTAGCAAAGTTACACCAAGGTTGAGTTCGGCTTATTCACTCCAAGTACTCCGTCTGTATTCTTGCCTCCTTTTACTCCAATAAAAAATATGGAATTTACACTATTTTCTCCAATATCCAAACCCAAGGAGTTTCAGAGTGAAAGGTGTCAAAAGAGTTGCTACCATTTTTGAAATAAATCTTTTGGAGTACGTTCAATCTTGCTCCGTTTGCTGCGAAAACAAACAAATGAGTATTATTCGTAACCGCGCTGCCGACTTTTTTACTCCAGGCTCACTTGTAAACGTTTGCTCTTTTTACTTCAAAGTGATCAAAAAACTGTTCCGAATCGGTGTTAGGCGATTTAATTAGTTTTAATATAGAAATAGGCGATTCTGGAGTATGCACTTTTAACTCTAATTTTGTTAACTCAATGATCGGAGTAAAAAGAGTAAGTTTATTTGTGTGCAATAAACTTTTTTTTTAAATTCTCGAAGTTCCACTTACTCGCAACTCTGTTCAACTAATGTGAACATATTTACTCTATCTACACTACGTAACCAAATTCGAATAATAAAAGTACTTACAGAGTAATTAGAGTAATAAGCTTTTTCACTTTCTTCACTCCAAAAACCCGAACAGAGTAAAAAGAATACAATTCCAAACGACTTACTCACTCTAAATACTCCGTAAACACTCTAAACGCTCTTTCTAAATAAAATGTGATTCAAGAACCTAGACTGGGATTACGACAAGTACAATTCTACTTTCATGACGTCAGCAACCGTCATCAAGTACAAGTACTGTACGCGATAAATAGGTTGAGGGTGACGTCATGAAACTAGACTTGTGATCCCAGTACTTAAATAAAATTCAAACGACTGTAATACTCCATTTAAATGAGTATTAAAAACAGATTAAATAGAGTACTCTACTACTCTATTTATACTGAAAATCCATTTTCAAAAAGTTGGAGTTATCGATTTGGATACCGTTTTGGGGTAAAATTATTGGCGTTTGGTATAAAAAGAGTAGTTCCATTCTCAAAGTTTCAAGTAACCGTAACATTTTCGGATTGCCTTTTTGGAGTTGCGATAAATATAATTCTATTTGTTTTGATGTGCGATAAATAGAAACGTCAAAAATAATGAAGTTTCTTAAATAGAATTCTATTCAAAATAACCTGAGCTCTTGGAGTAGAAATTTGAAATGTTGGAGTAGAGTTGGAACATTGTTAAAGTCACTCTAAAAAAGTTTCTTTTCAAAAGAAAAGATTTTTTAGAGTAAGTTGAGTAATAATTGTCAAAGTTACAATTGATTCTAACATCAAAATTTGGCAATTTCAAGTACAAGAAGCGTTTTCGAAGTGCTTTTTTGGAGTCGCCATAAATAGAATTTTATTGGTTTTGACGTGAGATAAATAGAAATGTCAAAAATAATAAAGTTACTAAAATAGAATTCTATTGAAAATAATTTTGGCTCTAGGAGTAGATATTTGAAACATTGTTCTTAGAACTGGAGTCAATTTAAAAAAATTCTTCTTCAAGAGAAAAGATTTTTTAGAGTAAATAGAGTAATAAATTGTCAGAGCAAGAATTGATTTTAACGTCAAAATTTTGACAGTTTCAAGTAAGTGTAGCGTTTTTAGATTGCCGTTTTGGAGTTGCGATTAATAGAATTCTATTCGTTTTGACATAATATAAATAGAAATATATCAGAAATAATGAAGTTACTGAAATAGAATTCTATTCAAAATAATCCGAGCTGTTGGAGTTGATATTCGAACTGTTAGAGTGGAGTCAGAAAATTGACTCTAAAAAAAATTTTCTTCCAGAGAAAAGATTTTTAGAGTAAGTAGAGTAATAAGTGGCAAAAGTTGAAAGAAAACGCTTAATTTTATAGCGCCATCTATTAAATGAAAGCTAAAATACAAGAAAGACCAAAAGCCGATTGGATTATTACAGAAATCTGTATTTATAATAAGTAGACCTTGAAAAAATGTTCTAAAAGCCTCTGTGTTCCTGATAGGAAATTGGAAATTTTGCGTTTGTTGAAACAAGGATCAGAAAATGATATGTTTGTTATCCTTCTATTCACATGATTTTACAAAAAGATGCGCAGGATACACTTAGTGCGCAGTTGACAAATGGAATTCGATATAAGTTCACTATCCATTGATTTTATATTCTATTAGCGTCATTAATGATTTCTATTGAAAAAGTGCGCACTGAGTGTATTTATGTCTTCTTCTATAAGTTTGCATAAGATAGAGATAAAAATACATTTTTTTCGCACTGGTTCTTGTAATAGAATTCGCCATATTATGACTCATCTCTTCAAACTTCTATATTCTAGATACAAATTTGGAAATTTGGCAATTTTAAGAACATCAGAAACGTGTAGGAGGTGACAACTGCGCTTTTCATTGGCGCTCTGTGTTTATCGTTCCAACCAATCGGGAGAAAGTGGGCGGAGCTTCACTGCGTCAGTAAAACAAATCAAAATGGTGATGCAGTTTTGAAGGGGTATATTGGGGGAAGTGCTTCATTTTCATATACAAGCAGGGTTGTCAAATGTTGGAGATGTTGGTATTGGCAATATTAAGTGAAAAATTATTAGAATTGCACCATTCTCCCATACATGGAAGATTTCTATCAATCACATATTGCAACCTCCCAGGATCCCTGTCATGCCAAAGAATGGTGTCATAGTAAATCCAGGACAGGTGTGCCAGTTTTTGGGCTTCCTTATTGACACGCGATTTAAGGGGCACATTCTGTATTTGTCCTGTAAATTTTCATAAGGATTTATCGTATTAAAGTAAGCTAAGCGAGAACTGGGAAAGGATGTTGTCTGGTGTATTTTACATTTGTAAGCTCTTTTTTAGGTTGCTCTATAAATTTGACTTATGAAACACACTGTATTTTTCTACTGTTACAGAATATATTAATTTTAAGAACGTAAACGTTGCTTTGTTGAAATAAGGTATACAGTACACAACAGTAATAATAATAAGGAAATAAAAAAATTAACGATCACAAAATGTATTGCTTCACACAAACTCACCAAAAGCTTGGTGTATCAATTGATAAATTAGATGTGAAAATTCTAACCCAAAATGCTTATATGGTGTCCCCGGAAAATTATTCTAGAATCGTCCAACGGTGGTGGTGGTGATTTGCAACAAGTAACCGAGATGAAAGTGAGCGCTGAAGAGTGGCCCTTGATCCAGCCATCGCAAGTTTGCGTGGAAGTACCGCCAGTGCATACTGCCGAGTCGATGCTTACACCACTAGGTAGGATGATTAACCATAAATTTATAATCAGCTTTTTAATAATTAATATTAAAAATGCACATCTAATAATAATAATTCTTGGCATTTTGATGTTGGAATATTTTTATTTTTCTAAGGGCCAAATTATGGTCCGACTGGTAACGTTATTGGTAAGTTTATCCTGCTGGTAAACCTGAAAATTACATTCAATTTTTAGTTTTACCAGCAGGATGAACTTGCCAAAGATCTTACCAGTCGGTCCATAATTTGGTTGTAATTAAGATCTTTTGACTTAATGTTTTTATTGTTGTATAATCATAATTAGAGCAAATCCGAAGAAAAGATGCACTGGTGAAACAAGCATTAGCTGAAAAAGAAGACCTTGTTGCCGACATGTTGGCCATTCCTCGTGAACATTTCGAACACATTGCTGACATGACGACCACCAACAATCTTGGAGGTCACACTTCAGACATAACTGACAGGCTTTTAGCCAGCGTCTTCCAGGTAAATATAAATATCAATCAAATAAATGGAACTTTGCCAATCAAAAATTCAAATATTAAGAACAATTTAAAGAGAAATTGTGAAAATTGTTTCATTCCAGGTCGATATTCTTCAGAAGGCGGTCAACGAGGCTTTGAACATCACCGAAAGCGAAGTGATGGCCGCCAGGGGCGGCAAATCTCCTGTTTGTACCGGCCAAGAAGTGACCGAAACTAGATCTGTGATTCCCAGTGTGCCTGCTGGATTAGTTGGGGACATTGCCGCTTCCCTCAGTTTACAGCTTACTACTTTATTGGTAAGTACTATTTGGATATCCGATAAAAGAAAAATTACAAAGATTTTAATCTTAACTTAATGTTAACCTCATAACTAATGCCAAGTAAGCAAAATATGATAAATGCAACTTGCATGTGTAATTACTTAGAGCTCTAGATTTAGGTACTGTTTATTTTGGCGGATACCATACATAATTTTTCAACATAAATCAATTCTAATTTCAAGTTATAAATATACAAGTTTCAATATATTGTTTATTTCAGAGTGAATTTAAGCAAGTCGAAGACGAGCGAGATAGACTCAGAAAGGAACTTCACAAAGTGAGAGAGCAACTTCATGTTGAACACAAACTCCACAGCCCAGTGCCATTCGAAGATCCGGATCCTGCTGTTACTTCCGATGAAAGTAATCAGGTGAGAAATTACTAGAATTATTAATTAAATCTCCATACATTGAAGAGCAGATAAATATTTTCATAGAAAAAATAGGTTATTATACAGAGTGTTCAGAAATAAATGCGACAAAATTTGTTCAAAGATTCTAGGCCTCCCTATCTTTGGAGCCTTAAAACTTTGGTTGCCTAATTGAAATTGAAAAAAATCTCCCATTTCAAATTTCAAATTTCAAATTCTTTATTGATGCTATTACACAAACATAGTGCTTACACAAGTCAAAAAAATATATATCAATCAGTACATCAATATTACACAAAAAAATTTAAAATAATAAAACACTCAAATCTAGATCTATATCACATCACTTTGAAACAATCAAATAAGTTTTAAAAAGTTTAACAGTTATTTATATAAGACAAACAGACAAATAAACAAATTTGACAAATTTGGCACAGTTATAAAATAAATACTAATACATGTAGTTGATGTGATTATAAACAGATTATTGTTTTTATTTTTATTTCCTTCCTTGAGTTCCCAACAAATGCAATCACTCAGAATGCATCTTGTTATTCGACCAACTGAGTGTGGAGTTGTAATATTCATCCAGGGAGTAGAAGGCTTTACTAACAAGCATATCTTTGACTTTTTTCTTAAACAACGTGTTGCTTAGGTTAATTACCTGTTCTGGTAGTTTATTAAAAAGTTTAACAGCATGGTATCCTGGGCCATTTTGACATCTTTGCAATCTATGATAGTTAGGTCTTAAATTATTTTTATTTCTTGTGTTATGGTTGTGGATATCAATAAAGCTGGTATACAAGCTAAGATGGTTTTTAACATAAACAAGATTTTGCAGAATAAACTCTGATGGCAATGTCAATATTCTGTGTTTTATAAAGGCTGGTTAGCACTCCTCCCGGTAACTCAAGCCTGCTACCACTCTGACAGCTCGCCTTTGCATAGCAAAAACATTTTGAGCTCCACTGGCATGGCCCGAGACCAGCAAGGCGTAACTTAAGTGGGAGTGGAACAAAGAAAAATAGGCCTGTTTTACAGTCCTCAACGAGACACACAGTGATAGGCTTCTCAAAAGAAATACATTTTTACTCAATTTTTTTGTTGTTATTTCCGTGTGGGCATCCCATAAGAGTTTTTGATCAAGAGTTACCTCAGAAATTTTACATTATCTTCCATGGGCGCAATTTTTTTAAGTGAAAATACGTACTTCTGAGTCTTGGCCTCATTTAAAAAAAGCTTGTTAATTGCAAACCATTGCCCAGCCCTCGACTGTGCCTCGCCTGACATGTCTAGAGCTGTCTGTAAGTTTGTGTCCTGTACTTGTCCAGTTGTGTCATCGGCAAAATTAAAGTACAACTCATTTATAGCCACTGTTGGCAAGTCATTAATGTAAATAAGAAACAAGATTGGGCCCATAATTGACCCCTGCGTAACGCCAGTGGTAACTTCTTGTTTATTTGATGTTAAGTTGTTATAAATTACTGTTTGGAGACGTTTTGTAAGATATGATTTAATGAGAAGTATACTATCTTGTGAAAATTTATAGTATGGTAGTTTGTCAAGTAGAATGTCATGCGAAACACAGTCGAAAGCTTTGCTCAGGTCACAAAAAACAGACACTGTGTGTTGTGAGTTCTCAAAACCCTCCATGATATTTTCAACAAGTTTCAAAATTGCAAGTGCTGTATTTTTACCCTCCCTAAACCCAAACTGACCAGGACTAAGAATGTTGTTTTGTTCAAGGTAGTTCGAAATTTGTTTTGCTAAGCATTTTTCATATATTTTTGATAGAATTGGTCGTAAAGAAATAGGTCTGTAGTTGCTTGGGTCATTGGCATCTCCTTTTTTGTATATAGGTACAACTTTTGCAATTTTAAGACAGTCAGGAAAGATGTTCTCCCTAATACAATGATTAATCAATTTAGTTAAAGGTATAAGAATTAAATTTTTTACCCCTTTCATTAATGTTATGTTTAGATTGTATATATCTTTACTCGTTTTGTTTTTGAGCTGATCAATAACCTCCCTGACCTCGTTATAAGAGACTTCTTTAAAACAGAAAGGACTATTATTTAATGCTATGTTTTTTAAGTTCTCTATCGGATTTATATTTTCATTTTTTATTTGTTTTTGTAGATCTGCGGCTACATTAATAAAGTAGTTGTTAAAATCTTGTGCAGATAGGTTAAGTGATTGTTCCAATGGTTTTGAGGGCTTTTTACGATGTTCGTTTATTACTTCCCACATGCACTTGGTTGGGTTGGTTGAATTTCTTATTTTTGTTTCATTACACTGTATTTTTGCTTCTTTAATTGCTTTTTTGTAGTCTCGTCGCTGTACTTTTATATATTCTTTCAGCTCATTAGTTGGGTGATGAATATAAATATCATTTAAGTGATTTAAGTATTCCCTTTTGTCTCTAAGGTTGTTATTAAACCAGGTAATGTTATAATTTATGTTGTTTTTTGTTCTATAGGTTTTTTTAGGGAATGACTCGTTAAAGGCCAACTCAATCAACTGCATGAGGGTTTCAAATTTTGTTTCAGCTGTTAAAAAAGGATGACCTATAAAGCTAAAATCAATTGCCGAAATTTTATTGTAAAAAACATTTTTTCCTTCCCAGGTAATAGGCTGACACAATTTATTTATAAACTGGTTAGTTGGTTTTTGCGTTGTGCAATTTAGTGTGATTAATTGACCATTGTGATCTGACTTACCAGGTTTTACTATACTTGCATGGAAATCTTCTTCTGAGAAGTTTATAAAGACATTATCTAAGCAATTCTGTTCTCTTGTTGGTTCAAAAACAGTTTGTGATAGACCATATGATTGAAGCATATCAATAAGCTCCTTGGAGGTTTTTTCATTTGTGCAAAATTTGACATTGAAATCTCCTGCCAATATAATTTTTTGTTGTATTCCTATAAGAGCCAAAATCTGGTCAAGAATATTGAGAAAGGTGTCAAAATCACCCGAGGGTGACCTGTATACTGATATTATTGTGATATTATATTTACTGGATTTTGCCGCACACACTTCAATACACTTCTCCACACTCAGTTGTTTAATGTCGGTTAATTCTGTAAAGTCGGTTCCCTGCTCCAACAAAATCAGTGAGCCCCCCTTAATATATATAGAACCGCAAAAAGATGCTGCTACAGTGAGATTTCCAATTTTTAGAAAGTCTATTTCTTCTGAATTTAGAAAGTGTTCTGTAATACACATTATTTTAATGTTTTTATCACAGCTAAATGCATCCAGCTCGTCTGTGATATCCCTTATTGATTGGGCATTGTAGTGAAGCACTTGAAAATTTGCTTCGCATTTTTCTTGTATATGTTTTAATATTTCTCCTGCACTATCTTTTAATTTGCCTGTGTTTGTAGGCTTCGTCTGGCATGCAAAAAATGGTTGATTATGACCCCCTCACCCCATATATCTGAGGTCATAATTTTTCCTGCTTCATTCTCCAATACCTCTATTTTAAATGAGCTCTTATAGCTGCTACTCTTGGTTTTCATTTTATAGCATTTGGTTTCTGTTTGTGTGCTGTTTATTATGTAGTTTTGAACATCTTCTTCTGTGACTGTGGGCGATAAGCCTGAGAGAAAAATGTAAGCTTTTCGTGGGGCCACTTGTAGGCTAAAGTTTTTGCAGCCTCCAAGTATTGGCTTTTGCCTGTTGGTGGTGTTAATTTTTCTGTTTATAACCCCCTGTCAGTCGTTTTTGTTGTTTTCTGTTTTCCGGTTATTATTACAATTTTCGGCATTGACGGCATTTTCAGTTGCCTTTTGCTTGTTAGCGGCACTTTTCTTCCTATGTACGACCTCCTGCCAGTCGTTTTTGTTGTTTTCCGTTTGCGTATAATTATAATTTTGAACATTTTGGTTTGTGTTTTGATGATTTTCTTGGAGACTTTCTTCGATTTGTTCAAGTTCTTTTCCATTTTTGTCAACTGTCAACTGCCATGTGCATGGGGACGTACTCGAGTCACTCGTTGGGGATTGGGTTAGAGACAGAGTGCGTTTATCATAACTGTTGGAGCAGGTCTGCACGGCTTGTTTTTTCCCAGCTGTCTTCAACATTTTTGGTGTTCTTTGATCTTTTGCTAACTTCGGGCTGTCAGGTGGATCGGTTACGTCGTTTGTTGTTGGCGGGAATTCAAGGAGCTTTCTAACCTCATTTTCGAGTTTCTTGCCTTTTTCTTCAAGTTTTATGATGTTTTCCCTCATAAAACGATTATTTTCCACTAGTATTTCGTTCTTCTCCTCTAGTAGTTTAATTATTATGCCATAGAGTTGCTTTTCGTGGCTCCAATGCTCTTCTTCTGCGTAAGTAGGTACGTGGCGGCACTTGGCGGATTTTTGAGTCGCCGCTTGTATTAGGCATGCGGAGTGAAAGTTTTTCTGGCATTTTCCACACTCTATGAAATTCTTCGTATCTTTTTTACAATGAGAACACTTTTCTATCAATTTTTCACTAATATTTTCAGCACTTTTTGTGGGCGTTAAAATCTCTACTTTTTAATTAATTTAATAGGATTCCAAATTAATAAGTTTAAAATATTTAAAATTGATTATTTCATTCATGACATAATAGACGAATTTAGAAAACGTCATTTTTTGAATACATTTTGTTTAAATAAGTGAATATTGCACAAGACTTGTTTATTTGCGATTAAATTTTTGTTTACCTTTTTTGACAGAACTCTTTATTGCTGGCTTTACTCTTAATTATTCAGGAAATAATCTAGCCGTATACCACTCGACCTATAAATTTAAATGGATTAAACTATCCAAATAATTTTTGCAATATTTTGCTTTTTGGCAAATAGTTTCATGCACAATAACTTTTAAATAAATTATTAAGTTATTGTGTAGTCAACTATTTTCCAAACAAAATCATGCTCAAAATATGTTGGATAGTTTAATCGATTAAATTTAAAGCTCTTGTGATATAATATATGATTATTTCCTTCATATTGTTTGGCAATTTAT